ACAGATGTGTTACAGATGTTTATGTATGTTACAGATGTGTTACAGATATTTATGTATGTTACAGATGTTTATGTATGTTACAGATGTTACAGATGTTTATGTATGTTACAGATGTGTTACAGATGTTTATGTATGTTACAGATGTTTATGTATGTTACAGATGTTTATGTATAATGTTACAGATGTTTAAGGATGCTATACGAGCAGCCGTGGCCTACAAGTCCGATTCCACTGACTTTATGGATGAGATCATGAGGGAACTTGAGGTATGATTTTAAAAACTTAACTATAGCAGAGACAAATGATGATATACAATGGCACTGAGAATGATGCCATCTTTAAAAACACATATAAACATAGATGGTACATGGATACATACCGAACAATAATATTTCCAGTATCGGAAAGGAAAGCACTGCTGCCTCCAAAAGGGATTTCTCTGTTATATATGAACTACAATTTTGTATTTTTCCAGATTGTCATTGTTGACTTATGTTATGTTTTAGAACTTTGAGTTGGAGACAGAGCAGAAAGACAGTGGACTGGAATCAGAAGGAAATTCAGAGGATAAAGAGGAAGGAAACAAGGACAAAACTGACAGCTGAGGTCAAAGGTCAAGGTCATCTGACCTTACCTTCTTTATGTTGACTAAGTTATGCATCTATTTATTGACATTTTTTTGAAAGACAAGCAAACAATATCATGGAATTATAGCTGCTAAGCAGCCACAAGTCTTGCCTGTACTCCTCCACTGTCTAAACAGACCCTACAGGCCACAGATCTATCTAATGTAAACTGTGTGATATTGTTAGACTGGTGTTTGATGATGTTGGATGAACAGGGGGAGACAAATCATGTCGACTGTGTGATGGTTTCAGTCTGGTGTGTTATATTGATCGATCAAAGGGGAGACAACCATTGTTTACTGTGTGATGTCAGGTTGGTCTGTTGTAGGAATAGATCAAAGGAGAGACAACTCTTGTTAACTGTGTAATGTCCGGTTGGTCTGTTGTAGCAATAGATCAAAGGGGAGACAACCATTGTTTACTGTGTGATGTCAGGTTGGTCTGTTGTAGGAATAGATCAAAGGAGAGACAACTCTTGTTTACTGTGTGATGTCAGGTTGGTCTGTTGTAGCAACAGATCAAAGGGGAGACAACACTTGTTAACTGTGTGGTGTCAGGTTGGTCTGTTGTAGCAATAGATCAAAGGGGAGACAACTCTTGTTTACTGTGTGGTGTCAGGTTGGTCTGTTGTAGCAACAGATCAAAGGGGAGACAACTCTTGTTTACTGTGTGATGTCAGGTTGGTCTGTTGTAGCAATAGATCAAAGGGGAGACAACTCTTGTTTACTGTGTGGTGTCAGGTTGGTCTGTTGTAGCAACAGATCAAAGGGGAGACAACTCTTGTTTACTGTGTGATGTCAGGTTGGTCTGTTGTAGCAATAGATCAAAGGGGAGACAACTCTTGTTTACTGTGTGGTGTCAGGTTGGTCTGTTGTAGCAACAGATCAAAGGGGAGACAACTCTTGTTTACTGTGTGATGTCAGGTTGGTCTGTTGTAGCAATAGATCAAAGGGGAGACAACTCTTGTTTACTGTGTGGTGTCAGGTTGGTCTGTTGTAGCAACAGATCAAAGGGGAGACAACTCTTGTTTACTGTGTGATGTCAGGTTGGTCTGTTGTAGCAATAGATCAAAGGGGAGACAACTCTTGTTTACTGTGTGGTGTCAGGTTGGTCTGTTGTAGCAACAGATCAAAGGGGAGACAACTCTTGTTTACTGTGTGATGTCAGGTTGGTCTGTTGTAGCAATAGATCAAAGGGGAGACAACCATTGTTTACTGTGTGATGTCAGGTTGGTCTGTTGTAGCAATAGATCAAAGGGGAGACAACTCTTATTAACTGTGGTGTCAGGTTAGTCTGTTGTAGCAATAGATCAAAGGGGAGACAACCATTGTTTACTGTGTGATGTCAGGTTGGTCTGTTGTAGCAACAGATCAAAGGGGAGACAACTCTTGTCAACTGTGGTGTCAGGTTGGTCTGTTGTAGCAACAATCAAAGAGGAGACAACTCCTGTTAACTGTGTGATATTTTCAGACTGGTTTGTTAGTGATAGATCAACAGGGATTCATGTGAACTTGTTAACTGTATGATGTTGTTAGACTGGTGTGTTATAGTGATGAATCATTGGGGAACATTAACACCTCCTTGTAGTAGGTTGTTGATCTTACAAAGAATTGAGAAATTGAGGAGTAAGGTTTGTGTATAATCCTTAGACAACAATAGCACGTTTGTGTTACCAGTCTGAGAGATATATGTGGTTTGTGTTATCATCAGCCCGAGAGCTATAGCTTGTCTGTGTTATCAGCCTGAGAGCTATAGCTTGTCTGTGTTATCAGCCTGAGAGCTATAGCTTGTCTGTATTATCAGCCGGTGAGCTAAAGCTAGTCTGTGTTATCAGCCGGTGAGCTAAAGCTGGTCTGTGTTATCAGCCGGAGAGCTATAGCTTGTCTGTGTTATCAGCCTGAGAGCTATAGCTTGTCTGTATTATCAGCCGGTGAGCTAAAGCTAGTCTGTGTTATCAGCCGGTGAGCTAAAGCTGGTCTGTGTTATCAGCCGGAGAGCTATAGCTTGTCTGTGTTATCAGCCTGAGAGCTATAGCTTGTCTGTATTATCAGCCGGTGAGCTAAAGCTAGTCTGTGTTATCAGCCGGTGAGCTAAAGCTGGTCTGTGTTATCAGCCGGAGAGCTATAGCTTGTCTGTGTTATCAGCCTGAGAGCTATAGCTTGTCTGTATTATCAGCCGGTGAGCTAAAGCTAGTCTGTGTTATCAGCCGGTGAGCTAAAGCTAGTCTGTGTTATCAGCCGGTGAGCTAAAGCTTGTCTGTGTTATCAGCCTGAGAGCTTTAGCTGGTCTGTATTATCAGCCGGTGAGCTAAAGCTGGTCTGTGTTATCAGCCAGAAAGCTATAGCTGGTCTGTGTTATCAGCCAGAGCACTATAGCTGGTCTGTGTTATCAGCCAGAGAGCTAAAGCTGGTCTGTGTTATCAGCCAGAGAGATATAGCTGGTCTGTGTTATCAGCCTGAGAGCTATAGCTAGTCTGTGTTATCAGCCTGAGAGCTATACCTGGTCAGTGTAATCAGCCTGAGAGCTATACCTGGTGTGTGTTATCAGCCTGAGAGCTATACCTGGTCTGTGTTATCAGCCAGAGAGCTATAGCTGGTCTGTGTTATCAGCCTAAGAGCTATAGCTAGTCTGTGTTATCAGCCTGAGAGCCATACCTGGTCTGTGTAATCAGCCGGAGAGCTATACCTGGTGTGTGTTATCAGCCTGAGAGCTATACCTGGTCTGTGTTATCAGCCTGAGAGCTATAGCTAGTCTGTGTTAGCAGCCTGAGAGCTATAGCTAGTCTGTGTTATCAGTCTGAGAGCTATACCTGGTCTGTGTTATCAGCATGAGAGCTATAGCTGGTCTGTGTTATCAGGCAGAGAGCTATACCTGGTCTGTGTTATCATCCCGAGAGCTATACCTGGTCTATGTTATCAGCCTGAGAGCTATAGCTAGTCTATGTTATCAGCCAGAGAGATATACCTGGTCTGTGTTTTCAGCCTTAGAGCTATAGCTGGTCCGGTTATCAGCCAGAGAGATATAGCTGGTCTGTGTTATCATCAGCCTGAGAGATATACCTGGTCTTTGTTATCATCCTGAGAGCTATAGCTTGGTGATGTTATCCTAGAATGAGTGCTTTATTTCATGCTGATGGTGGTGTAATTGAACTTTTGTTGATGATTTTCATTCCTGTAGTTAATAAATTCGATTTTATCTTCTTTTTCTGAATTTTGCAATAAGAAGTTCTCAGATTGTAAGACATGCTTAACTATCAGTTGTCTGTTTAAATGCAGTAGAAGCCCCCACTGGTTTGATTAGAGAGTATGCATTAGTCATTCATTTATATTTTACAATGTTACGGTTGTGTATTTGTAGTATCATGCTGATAATATCAAAATTTGTAGCATACCAAAGCTGTTATCATATGGTTGTCTGTTTAGTTGCATGTATACGTGCTGGAATTGCCAAATTTGTGTTTGTTTTGTAGATATAGCAACACCGCATTCAACACTTTTTAATTTTTTCTCTGATTGATTTCTCATACATAAAGTACAAAATTAAAACAGATTTTTTCTTGTACTATTCTAATATTGAAGTATATTTTGTTTAGAAAATGCATCAGAAGGATTCAAAGTAAATACTTTGGATTAAAATGTGAAAAAAAATAACTTGAACTTCATTTTGAAAGTGCTGTTCAACATGTAAGGACTATCAAGGTCCATCCTATAGATTTAATGTGTTTGGTTCAGAAATCAAAATCGCATGCATAGAATCTTGTTGAAATTTTTAAAAAAAACTCAGGTTTTCCTAGAAAATATTTGTATTTTGTGGTATAATTGTACATACCTACAACAAAACAAAACCTAGTGATTTGTGATCTTGAATAATCTAGCTATATTGGAACTATACAAACTATTTTTTGTGTACCATATGAAACATGTCATATTTTCCCCAGTGTTACGAAGTACAACCATGAGAGGAAAGTTAGATTATGACACACTACCCAGGTCCCTTCGTGAGTACCACTCTATCAGAGATCACTGTTTACAAGTGATATAGAGTCACAAGCTTCGCTGTGATGTACATGTATCTATTGTACAACATGATTCATGGACTGGTGGAATGTGACAGTATTGTAAGGACACGTGTGATTGGAAGAGTTTAAAGAAATTAAAAAAAAAAGATCTGCATTGTGTAGAGCAGGATTTCATTGGAGGAATAGAAGGAAGCATTTTGATTGGTGGATGTATTAGTGTGACCGGAATGTAAAGAAGTATTTGATTGGTAGAGCTAGGATTTTGATTGGAATGAAAGGAAGCATTTGATTGGAAGAATGAGGATTTTGATTGTTATGAAAGAAAGCATTTGATTGGAAGAATGAGGATTTTGATTGTTATAAAAGGAAGCATTTGATTGGTAGAATGAGAATTTCGATTGTTATGAAAGGAAGCATTTGATTGGCAGAATGAGAATTTTGATTGTTATGAAAGGAAGCATTTGATTGGTAGAATGAGGATTTTGATTGTTATGAAAGGAAGCATTTGATTGGTAGAGATTAGTCAAAGGGGCTGGGTGTCGGGTGGATGTTTACTGAAATTAATAGGCATTGTATTGTTCATTGTGAAACACATTCAATAGAATATATGTGCCCATGTGGTCAATTAAGACCTTTGCCAATGTTAGGTCCATGTGGTCAATTAAGACCTTTGCCAATGTTAGGTCCATGTGGTTGGTGATGGGACCAAACCGTCATGTAGAGAGAATGTTGTACCTACAGATTGTTGTATTGAGGTTTGGTCTCCTAAGTAAGTGTATGTGAGACCATTTTTATGTGTAGCCTTTGATTACATTCATGTCTTGTTTGTCGAGTTACTTCACCCTTGGTGGATAGACGATGTCCTTTAGAATATCCACACTTGTAATTTCTGACAAGGGTGCCTACCTGCTGAAATATTAACTATTTACATGTCTGTGGCAATTCATGTTAATTTTGAGCACCAATAAAATCTCTGCAGTGTTAATTTTGGACCCATATCTCTGCTAATTTTTATTTGGAACACATACAGTATGTGCTAATGTTGATTCGTACACATATCTGTGCTAATGTTGAACAGACACCTGTGCTAATATTAATTTGTAACAGATATCAGTAATTATTTTGAACAAATTTCTTATCAAATTTGAAAAGATATCTATGCTAATAATTTTAACTGAATTCTGCTGTTAATTTTGTACACACATCTGTGATATTATCTCAGATCACATGTCTGTATAAATATTACCTAGAAATAAAATAACTTGTGACTAAGACGCGATTTGATGGACCAGACTGACTAGTCTGTTGTGCATCAGTAATTACTGCACATTAGTTTTTGTGATTATGTTTTTTAGACCATTAAAACGGAAATTCATAGACAATGTGCTTGTTTTATTTTTTTCATCCTTAATGTGCAGTGGACAATGTCCAGGTAATAGCAAACCTAGAGCTATTTTACATCACTATACCCCAACCTTTGTCCCCTGCTAAAGGTACCCGGGATAGATCTATACTATCTTTGTCCCCTGCTAAAGGTACCCGGGATAGATATATACCTCAATCTTTGTCCCCTGCTAAAGGTACCCGGGATGGATCTATACTATCTTTGTCCCCTGCTAAAGGTACCCGGGATAGATATATACCTCAATCTTTGTCCCCTGCTAAAGGTACCCGGGATGGATCTATACTATCTTTGTCCCCTGCTAAAGGTACCCGGGATAGATATATACCTCAATCTTTGTCCCCTGCTAAAGGTACCCGGGATAGATCTATTCCCCGATCTTTGTCCCCTGCTAAAGGTACCCGGGATAGATATATACCTCAATCTTTGTCCCCTGCTAAAGGTACCCGGGATAGATATATACCCCAATCTTTGTCCCCTGCTAAAGGTACCGGGGATAGATCTATACCCAGATCTTTGTCCCCTGCTAAAGGTGCCCGGGATAGATCTATACCCCAATCTTTGTCCCCTGCTAAAGGTACCCGGGATAGATCTATACCTCAATCTTTGTCCCCTGCTAAAGGTACCCGGGATGGATCTATACTATCTTTGTCCCCTGCTAAAGGTACCCGGGATAGATCTATACCCAGATCTTTGTCCCCTGCTAAAGGTACCCGGGATAGATCTATACCCCGATCTTTGTCCCCTGCTAAAGGTACCCGGGATAGATCTATACCCCGATCTTTGTCCCCTGCTAAAGGTACCCGGGATAGATCTATACCTCAATCTTTGTCCCCTGCTAAAGGTACCTGGGATAGCTCTATACCCCGATCTTTGTCCCCTGCTAAAGGTACCTAAGATCACCTTGTCTGCAGTCATACAAATGAGTTCTGTTGGATAACCCTTAAAGGAATGCTTTAACTTTCACGAAACTATAGTATCACTAACCTACACAAGTTCAGTTTTAAATCAAATCTAACTTTAAAAAAAGTGAGCGAGCTCACTAAGATATACTCTCTGCTTCAAGGACTATAACTCCCAAGAAAAATGTCAAATCAAAGTTTCTTTCATCATGCAGATGTACATATAAAGTAGTTTGACTCTGCTAAGTTACCACAAACTCCAATTAATAGTTAAGAAGGAGTTGCACATAGAAGGTTTAATTTCTGGAGCAGATATTTAAAGTATCTAAGATGTACTTTCAGTGTCAAGTTACAACAAAATCAAACTTATGCTTTAGGAGGAGTGGCACTTACAAGGATCATGGACAGACATATATATTACAGGGGGTTCATTTGTACCTCCTGAACATTGTGTGCAGGGAACATAGAAACAACACCAGCTCCAATAGCCATCGTAAATTTCTTAGGAATAGAACGCTTATTCGTGCAGTAACCTTTGAAGGAAAGCTTTGATTTCTGTGCAGGAACCTTTGAAGGAAAGCTTTGATTTCCGTGCAGGAACCTTTGAAGGAAAGCTTTGATTGCTTTGATTTTCATGAACCTTTCTAAACATATCTATAAGATCAATAACCTACTGGAGTTTGATTTTAAACAAAATCTGAACAACATTGCCAGTGTGGGCAGGTGACATATTAACTTTGATGGCATTGTGTACTTCATTACCTAAAATGTTTCGGTGTTGTCAGATTTTATCAAATTAAAGTGTACATCAAGCTCGCCACTGATAAAGTGTACTTCAAGCTTGTCACTGGTAAAGTGTACATCAAGCTTGCCACTGGTAAAGTGTACATCAAGCTTGCTACGTACTGGTAAAGTGTACATCAAGCTTTCCACTGGTAAAGTGTACATCAAGCTTGCCACTGGTAAAGTGTACATCAAGCTTGCCACTGGTAAAGTGTAAGCATTCATTATGGTTTTATGACCCACATGAAAGTAATGAAGGAACTCGAAATCAAAGGGTATTTATCTTCAAAATGTTGCTTTCCCTAATGCTAAGGAACCTCTAAAGACTTATGAAAAAATATGAAAATTTCATTTAAAGCAAATGAACAAAAACTGTTTGAGATAACCGGTGTACAGTGTTCCTGTTTTATCACAAGTGTTTGTTATATGTTGTATTATCTCGGACTGCATGTCTAAGATGGTGTATTGACTTTTTTCTCTCTTAATTCTGTGACAACAGCAGTGAGACCAGTGTTATTTTGCTAAATACATTGTATATGGGAAGCTATAATTTTGTTCAAACATGCACTTGTAATTAATAGCAAAAATTAACTTTTAACCACCCCTCCACGATACGTGTGTAAGATACTGAGGACTAACATGTGACACTTGTTTTTACCATGTAATATAATCAATGTCCATGGTATTTCTGCTTTGACCAATGACTATTGATACAAACAACAAACAAAAAACACTTGATCACTGTTCAATTTTATTTCGTCACGTTAGTGTGATCCATGAAACAAGGAATCATTGAATGATAGGAAAATAAACTGTTCTTGTAGCCAAAGTCTGTTAAATATACATGTGATACAGTCAATATTCAAATTGTTCAAGTTTGAAAATCAATAAATTATTTTCAGTCTTCTATACTTTTGTCATTTATGTAATACATCGTTCACTAAGTACAGCTGTATAAACAACACATAAAACAGAGACATCCCCTTGTAGTCACATTCACCTATCACACGGTGACACCTGTACAAAAACTACTCCACTATATTTTTAATAAAGATTATATATTTATATAGATTATTTGATTCTAAAGTTTTCACAAAACAAATAGAAAAGCTTAGTATTATCTGTTCTTTGTTCGTCAAATTTTGTTGTGGACTAAAACAAATAATTTAGTACCACCGGATGTGATTTTTATTCCCTAACTCTGTGATATATGACAAGTAACGGACCATTTGATCCCTCGATCTGTGAGGCACGAAGAGTGACAGGACAGAAACTGACTGCAGACTAAATTACATAAATCCCCCTGGAATGTGACACTGGTGCATGGGTCGTCATAACATACAAGTAACAAACACATGTTGGGTAATTGTTATAATTGACCAGCACATTGTAATGTACCCATACTTTGTAAACGTGGACAGCACCAAATACACAGATCGACCATCATCAGCACTGTAGATGGAGACCAACAATCATCTTGTATCAATTATTTTAATGAATATCTAAAATTTATTTTTCTTTCTTACCAAAGCACCTTCCACCAGAACAGCTATTGTAACTTTTTAACAGTCTCAATAAAATCGTAATTTTTAGTAGGCATGTTATTGAAACCAATTTTCCAATATGGGTCTAATTAAGCATCAACACTTGCCACTTGAACCCGACACGTCTACTCTGGGGACTGTGTAATACAGTACCATATATAACAATTAATGGCACAAAGAACTCGGCAGAAAACTACATCAATTCACCATGGCTGAAAGACTACCAGTATAAATGTCTGGCTTCATCAGACAACTCTCACAGAACAAGTATATTTTTATCTTGCTTTGTTAGAAATTCCTCACACAAAGTTTATTTTGGCTTAAACAACATTGAATTAAAACATACCTGAGAACTTGTACCCAAAATGATGTAGTGACAAGGTAACCAATACACACTACTTCACACAATACTCCATCAATAGTACACAAATCATTAGGTTTGTAATTGTTCTATACACCATAGTTAAATTTGTTCTGTCAAAAATCACTTTTACATTACAATTTCAAATTCAAATGTTATTTAAACTTACAAATGAAATTTGGAAAAAAAGACATTACTGTTTGATGAAATGTAAAATAGTCTGTTTTGAGTTTATAACTAATTAATGCTTCATTGAATTGTAAAAATGAGAACCCATTATTCAGGGAAAGAGAGCAGTGTTTTGAAACGTGCTATTCTGAAATATTAATTCTTTTTCCATTGAGTTTAATCAATACATCATTATAAACTATTGCACAAATAACATGGCACACACCATCCCGTCCTTCCCACTCACTCGATCAACAGTCGCACATGCATGTTGCTAATAAATACTTCAATAATCACGCAACCAATGAACGCTTCAATCACAAAACTCAAATTTATTTATCAAAATCTGTTATGAAAAAAAAAGATAATATCCAATTTAAATCTGACCTATTCCAAAGCAATATGGGTAACCTTGAATCTTTATTTACTGTTTCTGTGGCTAATCATGGACCTTATGACCAATTTCTGTGGCTAATCATGGACCTTATGACCAATTTCTGTGGCTAATCATGAACCTTATGACTAATTTTATGTTTATATTTAACAGAGTACAACTTGAATACCTACAGATTTACCTTATTATGGCTGACCTGGTAAGAGTAATATGTCATTCCACTGAATATATAGACTGTTCTTTTATACCTTGGAAAGAGACAGAAGTTTTATAAAGAGACATTGTGATGGTTGGGAAAATTCATACAACATATACCAGTAAGTATAATGAATATTGAACTTGATATTGATATCAAAATTTTGTTCATCATTTATGTACATTGTACAAGTAATAAATGTATAAAATGGTTACTTTATGCTTGATGACTTTTTAATGGGTTGCCGTACGCGTCGACTCTAATCAACAAGACAACAGATGGATAGGAACATTGAATTTGATGGACTAATGTTTAGGTCACTGTGACCTTGATGGACTAATGTTTAGGTCACTGTGACCTTGGTGGACTAATGTTAAGGTCACTGTGACCTTGGTGGACTAATGTTTAGGTCACTATGACCTTGATGGACTAATGTTTAGGTCACTGTGATCCTGATGGTATATTAAGTAGGTCACTGTGATCCTGATGGACTAATTAATGTTTAGGTCACTGTGATCCAGATGGAATATTAAGTAGGTCACTGTGACCTTCATAGAATATGAAGTACACAAGCATAAAAGTATATTTATGATGCTGATATGTTCAATCACATGAATTTACTGTCATTTACTTAAAGTATTTATGATGTCAAATGAATATCTCTATCATGAAAAAGTGTTTTCATTTTTATTTGATGTTATGTAAATTGATGTTATACAATTTTTTCAAAAGATCTATTTTATTACCAGATGAAGATTGTGTATAGTCCCTTCCAATATCATCCAAATTTGTATGATGACTTTTGAAATCAAAGATCAATATTATCAGTTATATTACGTTGAATATGGTATATATATATATATATCTATGTTATATAAACCTCCTTCTGAACCTCCTCAAAAATGAGAACAGAGGTACCATACAGAAATATAAAATAAATCCGTACTTCTGTGGTTATACATTTTATGTACAAGCTTGGTAAAACTGACCAAACCTTACTGATTACATGGCTATATAATATAGTGTATCCGGCCAAACGCTACAGGCCTTAACTCCACGTATGTAGTGTTATTATCTGTCGTTATAGTATATATATAGTTCATTAATGTTGTAATATCACATTTGTTCGTTTGTTACCACAACATGCACCTAACACTACAGTGTAGTCTGGCAAGGGAAACAACTCTTCAGTTCAAAGCACATGAAAAATAGCCAGTACAATAAACACACACGTAGCATAATTGCATGACTAACCCAGTTTGGAAGACACATGTACACATCCCCCATCACCGTAACAACAATCTGTTACTATGACAACAATCCATACCACTAGGACATTAATCCATACCACTAGGACACTAAACCGTACACACTGATAATCTAGTATAAATATTAGATCCTTATAATGCTGCTCCACACACAATAATGTTGTATGTCACTTACACCAACATTTCACTAACTGGGGAGTATCTCTCCCCCTTCCCTGAAGTCTATACTTCACGCCTGTCATCAGACTAACATATGATAGGTATGGGTACCGCACACTATTTAAAGTTACTGGCCTGGGATACACAAGTCACTGTCCTTGTAAACACTATAGTCTGAGTATATTCACTGAGGACCACCTCCTGGAATGTTTCTCTAGCTATAGCTATTCCTCTTACACACACAATTCCACATAATACCAGGTATATGTACACAACACAGCTTTAAATGCTGACCTAGGCATCTGTCACAACACAGGCTCTAGTAAAATCTTGTGTAACCACTGTTACACAGGCTCTAGTAAATTCCTGTTTCACTGTACCAGCAGTGCCATGTTAAACAGTCACTAGACAACACTGGGAAACTCAAGACAAGCTACCATTCCGCATGGCAGCCTTCTTGATAGAGCGCTCTAGGTTCATACGGTGTCCTACTTGTGTTACTCCTAGCTCTATATAGTCATTGCGCGTAAGTGCTGCCAACTTTTTACCGTCAATGCAGTGTTCCTGGAAACTTGGTTTGTACGGAGTCATGTTGAGGCTGTCTAACCAGTCCAGAACATCAAGACATTGCCATGTGTCGACAGGCTTAGACAAAAATGGTTTGTTCATTCTCACTGGTTTCACTACCACTTTGTTGTTTTTATTACTCTCAAAGTCTGGAGGTGGGGGAATCACCGCGGGCATTTCATCGTAGCCCTGATCCGTGTTATCATCAAAGCCTGGGGGAGGCGGAGGGATAAGGTCCTCGTAGGAGTTTTTCTTGGATAGACAATAGCCTGAGTCAGCGTGTTCATCAGACAGTGTGGAGAGAGTGGATACTGATGATACCACACTGTCTGTGTCCTCATGTTTGTAGCCTGAAGGCGGTGGAATGATGTCCACATGTACAATATCTCCAAACTCAGGAGGTGGAGGCAAAGCACTAGTTGTTGTCTTCCCAGTTTCTGTGGCTGAACTATCCGTTGTCACCCCCTGCACTTTGTAACGCGGAGATTTTGGAGAAGTTGAATTAATTCTTCCATTTGTAACATCAACTTTTTTATTTTTCTCAAAGCTAGCTATCCTGTCACGTATGGAGGTGGCACGAGATATCAGATCAGCATCCCTGGAAGTCTTCAGCGGTGTAGAGGTGGAGGTTTTGCGTACAACTCCGTTGACCTTAGGTTTGTCTGTGGTATTGAAGAATTGAGTACTGGTGGTGAGTGGGGTGGGTGATGTTGGTTTGCTTGAGTATTGGACCGAGTCATTCTCCTTTACTGTGGTTTTGGGCGGCTCAGACTTGGCCCGTGCTGTAGTTGCATCGGTAGTGGTATGGGTTGGACTTCCAGATGAAAGTGATGAGCTACTCGCTTTTTTCTGTAGCCAGTCTTGTCTGGCTTTCTCTGCCATTGCCAGGAAATCTGTTGTTGTTGGCTTCTTTTCATCCTTGTCTGATTCTATTGATTTCTGCTTAGTTACGACCTTCTTATTCTCTGTGACCTTGACCTTACCAACAGCATTGCTATCAAACAATGGTTTCATTGGAGTAGACGCTGTTGCTTTCCTATTGACAATTTCTTTCTTAGTCTCAACTTTTGTCTCAACCTTAGGTGTGACTTTTGTCTCAACCTTAGGTGTGACTTTTGTCTCAACCTTAGGTGTGACTTTTGTCTCAACCTTAGGTGTCACTTTTGGTGTTATCTTGGATGGTGTTACAGAGCCTGGTTTGGCTTTTGAAATGACATTTGAGGCTGGTTTGGATTTTGGCAATTCCTGTGCTTTTGTCTCTGTTTTCTTGCCAGTATTTTCACCGGAAAAGAAAAGCTTGGCCGACTGAAGTTTCTTTGTTTTGTGTAACCTCGACTCAATCTGGTCAAGTACATCTGTATCAGACTTCTGTTCCAGGTGTTGTCGGCGTCTCGCTACGGCTGCCATGATGGCTGCCTGGTTGTCTGTAGGTTCCTGTTTTTTCTGTTGAACAGCTGTCAATTTTGGCCCTTCAGTCTCCATCCTGGTTTGACGTTTCCGTACTGCAGCCAAGATGTCTCCAGTTGGGAGGAGTGAAGTTGTTGGACCGTCACCTGTCTGACGAGACCCCACTCTAGGTGAAGGGGATGCCTCCTGAGTCAGGGGAGGTGGAGGAGGTGGGGGTGCTGGTGGAGCAGGAGGGGGAGGAGCAAACACAGGTAACTCCTCCACTTCCTCCTTCACCTCTGCTGTATGAATCTCTTTTGGAGGCGTGGCCTGCCGTACTGGTGATGGTTGGCGGGCAGGTGAAGCTTGCCTGGGAGGTGAAGGAGCAGGTGAGGGTTCTCGCCCTTTCGGTGATGGAGGAGGTTGTGTCTTTGTCGGGGGTTTGGGTGCAGGCTCCTGGGGAGGAGGAGGAATTTGTACATCTTCTTGTTTTTTGGAGACAAGAGAGGATGGGATGTCTGAACGTTTTATTGTCAATTGTTTAGCTGATTCTGTCTTTGTCTTCTTGTCTCCCACTGATATGACAGTTACAGAGTTACGGGCCTTGTCATTCTCCCCTTCACTATCTACATCATAGTCTGGTTCTGGCTCCGACACCTTCTTCTTGCGCAGGTGAACATCCGCTGTAACAAGAAGCTGGGCGTTTGGGTGTTTCTGTAAGAACTTCTGTGCACTGTCATTCACTCTGTCCTCAGCGAATGATACAGAGTGTTTTTCAGAGGCATCATCACGACTACTGTCCGAATGTTTAGACACACTACTAGCATTTCTCTGATGCGATGTTGTAACATCCACAGTGGATTTGATTTTGATTTTTGGCTCGTCTGCTGATTTGCCCTGATTGGCTGGTTTGAAGCTGGATTGATCTGATTGATCATTAACTTGACTAGATTTTATTTCTGTTGTCGTGGCATACACTTTTTTATTGGTACTGATTGTCACTAGTTCTGTTTTTGCTGGTCGCACTGGTTCAACGTTTTTGGGCGGCGCTGGTGCATGTCGCTTTGGTACAGTGCTCCCACCCGGAGGAGGTGGGGGCGGCGCTTTAGGTCGCTCACTCGTGGCAGTTTTAAGGTTTCCGGTAGATCCCCCGTAAGAAGAAGCACTCTTTAATGACACACTGTCTCCACCATCATAGTCGTATTTGTCTACCACATCCGTAGAACCACTTGCAGTGCGCTTGTGTTTGGAGGCCACACTTGGCACTGTCACTGGAGTGGCATAAACGGGCTCATTACGTTTGCTGTCCAGAAGGTCAGATGTACTACGTGACCTTTCCATATTACTCACAGACCCGTTGGAGGCTTTCTTTTGGTGATATTTCTTGATCCTCATTTCTGATGGGCTCATGTATTTTTCTGACGAATGTATTGCTCCAGTGTCCAGGCCTCCAAGCTCCACACAGGAGACACGTTTCGCTGAATGGCTGGACCGTATGGAGGCGGTCTTCTGCTCCTTTGTCATTTCTTCCTGTTTGTCATTTTCGGCCAAGACCTTGTCCAGTTGATCTGTGAAGGATAAAACATCTATATAAAAACATGTCTGATTTGTATATAAAACATGGGTTAAAACACTTAAAATATCTCAGTTCAGACAAAATATTGTGCAGGAATAAAAAAAAGCATGATACCAGTAATATATCTATCAGAAGCTACTGGATGATTTAATTTTCTCTAAGAGTTATTGCCCTTTGAACACTTTTCCTGCTCAGTCGTGTACCATTTTCATTTTTTTTTTATCCTTTTCAATGCATCAGTTTTTAACAATAAGTGATTTAAATGAAACCCAAAAAGACCCAGGGGAAAACGTAACCAAAAGATACAAGTAAAATCTTAATGGAAACATATGTAAGCTAGCATAAGCAGAATATTTCAACAATAAGACAGTATCTAAAGAAGCATCATATCTCTGCAAAATATAAAGAATAAGTTGAGAATATGGCTTGTTTAGTAAATTTCCATAAAAATAGCTGAAAATTTAGATGATTTCACAAATAGTATACTTGAATTTGAGTTAGTTTTCTACTTATCTAATGTAAGATTTAGCTACAATTAGTACATTAATGTATGTTCTAAAACATACTGTAATGACACACATTGTTATAATGACAAAACTACATCAAGCACATCTGAAAGATAGAACTAGCATGTTCTTAGTATGGAGGTCAGTGCTGCCATCAAATGTGTATGACCTTGAGAAGTAAGCAATGACAGGTATGTAGCAGGATTTCAATTTGCATAGTAAGAGAATGAACACATTTGCAAGAATGCTCAGACAAGTGAAATAAGCAGACAACTCTTGCTGTCGGGGTAAGTAATGTCTGCATCGTGATAGTCCAGGAGTTTATGTATGTGAGGAGACAAGGCATCTACTTAAGTGTATCCTCCGTGGACCTTTTGGCAAAAGTAAAATAAATGCCCTGTAGAACTCTGGGGTAGAACTAGGGTGTCTCATAGGGCCACCCTGTAGAACTCTGGGGTAGAACTAGGGTGTCTTATAGGGCCACCCTGTAGAACTCTGGGGGAGAACTAGAGTGTCTAATAGGGCCACCCTGTAGGACTCTGGGGTAGAACTAGAGTGTCTAATAGGGCAACCCGGTAGACCTCTGGGGTAGAACTAGAGTGTCTAATAGGGCCATCCTGTAGAACTCTGGGGTAGAACTAGAGTGACTAATAGGGCCACCCTGTAGAACTCTGGGGGAGAACTAGAGTGTCTAATAGGGCCACCCTGTAGAACTCGGTAGAACTAGGGTGTCTAATAGGGCCACTCTGTAGAACTCTGGGGTAGAACTACGGTGCCTAATAGGGCCACCCTGTAGAACTCTGGGTTAGAACTAGAGTGTCTAATAGGGCCACCCTGTAGAACTCTGTGGTAGAACTAGGGTGTCTAATAGGGCCACTCTGTAGAACTCTGGGGTAGAACGTGGGTGTCTAATAGGGCCACCCTGGAGAACTCTGGGGTAGAACTAGAGTGTCTAGTAGGGCCACCCTGTAGAACTCTGGGGTAGAACGTGGGTGTCTAATAGGGCCGCCCTGTAGAACTCTGGGGTAGAACTAGGGGGTCTAATAGGGCCACCCTGTAGAACTCTGGAGTAGAACTAGAGTGTCTAATAGGGCCACCCTGTAGGACTCTGGGGTAGAACTAGAGTGTCTAATAGGGCAACCCGGTAGACCTCTGGGGTAGAACTAGAGTGTCTAATAGGGCCACCCTGTAGAACTCTTGGGTAGAATTAGGGCGTCTAATAGGGCCACCCTGTAGAACTCTGGGTTAGAACTAGAGTGTCTAATAGGGCCACCCTGTAGAACTCTGTGGTAGAACTAGGGTGTCTAATAGGGCCACTCTGTAGAACTCTGGGGTAGAACGTGGGTGTCTAATAGGGCCACCCTGGAGAACTCTGGGGTAGAACTAGAGTGTCTAATAGGGCCATCCTGTAGAACTCTGGGGTAGAACTAGAGTGACTAATAGGGCCACCCTGTAGAACTCTGGGTAGAACTAGGGTGTCTAATAGGGCCACCATGTAGAACTCTGGGGTAGAACTAGGGTGTTTAATAGGGCCACCCTGTAGAACCCTGGGGTAGAACTAGGGTGTCTAATAGGGACACCCTGTAGAACTCTGGGGTAGAACGTGGGTGTCTAATAGGGCCACCCTGGAGAACTCTGGGGTAGAACTAGAGTGTCTAATAGGGCAACCCGGTAGACCTCTGGGGTAGAACTAGAGTGTCTAATAGGGCCACCCTGTAGGACTCTGGGGTAGAACTAGAGTGTCTAATAGGGCCATCCTGTAGAACTCTGGGGTAGAACTAGAGTGTCTGATAGGGCCACCCTGTAGAACTCTGGGGTAAAACTAGGGTGTCTAATAGGGCCACCCTGTAAAACTCTTGGGTAGAACTAGGGTGGCTCATAGGGCCACCCTGTAGAACTCTGGGGTAAAACTAGGGCGTCTTATAGGGCCACCCTGTAGAACTCTGGGGGAGAACTAGAGTGTCTAATAGGGCCACCCTGTAGGACTCTGGGGTAGAACTAGAGTGTCTAATAGGGCCATCCTGTAGAACTCTGGGGTAGAACTAGAGTGTCTGATAGGGCCACCCTGTAGAACTCTGGGGTATAACTAGAGTGTCTAATAGGGCCAGCCTGTAGAACTCTGGGGTAGAACTAGAGTGACTAATAGGGCCACCCTGTAGAACTCTGGGGCAGAACTAGGGTGTCTCATAGGGCCACCCTGTAGAACTCTGGGGTAAAACTAGGGCGTCTTATAGGGCCACCCTGTAGAACTCTGGGGGAGAACTAGGGAGTTTAATAGGGCCACCCTGTAGAACTCTGGGGGAGAACTAGGGTGTTTAATAGGGCCACCCTGTAGAACCCTGGGGTAGAACTAGGGTGTCTAATAGGGACACCCTGTAGAACTCTGGGGTAGAACGTGGGTGTCTAATAGGGCCGCCCTGTAGAACTCTGGGGTAGAACTAGGGGGTCTAATAGGGCCACCCTGTAGAACTCTGTGGTAGAACTAGGGTGTCTAATAGGGCCACCATGTAGAACTCTGGGGTAGAACTAGGGTGTTTAATAGGGCCACCCTGTAGAACTCTGGGGTAGAACTAGGGTGTCTCATAGGGCAACCCTGTAGAACTCTGGGGTAAAACTAGGGTGTCTTATAGGGCCACCCTGTAGAACTCTGGGGTAGAACTAGGGTGTCTAATAGGGCCACTCTGTAGAACTCTGGGGTAGAACTAGGGGGTCTAATAGGGCCACCCTGTAGAACTCTTGGCTAGAACTAGAGTGACTAATAGGGCCACCCTGTAGAACTCTGGGGCAGAACTAGGGTGTCTAATAGGGCCACCCTGTAAAACTCTTGGGTAGAACTAGGGTGGCTCATAGGGCCACCCTGTAGAACTCTGGGGGAGAACCAGGGTGTCTAATAGGGCCACCCTGTAGATCTCTGGGGTAGAACTAGAGTGTCTAATAGGGCCACCCTGTAGAACTCTGGGTAGAACTAGGGTGTCTAATAGGGCAACCCTGTAGAACTCTGGGGTAGAACTAGGTTGTCTAATAGGGCCACCCTGTAGAACTCTGGGGTAGAACGAGGGTGTCTAATAGGGCCACCCTGTAGAACTCTGGGGGAGAACTAGGGTGTCTGTAAAAGTTTGGCCCAGGTGTTAGCCTCTGGGTTGGTGCTAGTCGTTTACTCCTGTTTGGAGCTTGTAGTGATTCATTGATCGTAAGCCTATGAGACCTGTTGAAGGCAGAGGGTTGTGTAAAGGTTATTCCTGGTGAGCTCTGTGATAGGGAGTGTCAATAATAATATATGTGATAATATAGGTGGAGAGTTCAGGGTGGTTCTGGGAGTCTGTTTTGCGATGGTCTGACAGATTCAATAAGTGTCCCTCAAGTTGGGATGGGGATATATACTGTAGTTCTGTACTTGTCTTCTCCAGCCTTGATTTCTCAAAGCTTTCATAAATCAATTTATTATAAATTATAGATACAAAATGTTCCTTCTGTATGTGTTCATGTCACACTATAATTCATTAAATATATGGAAATATATCTCCTGCATTGGGCAAAATTATGTACAATTCAAATGGCTTTTGATCATTATGACATAACATAATATGTACACTGTGTCTAAACTTGATTAAAAAACGCATAATCCAACACCATCTAAAGGGGAAAATATAAATTGTAAAAAGAATAAAAGTCATTCACCAAAATCAACCATATGCCAAATACTCATCCAACCAAATACCTACACCTAATGCCATCCAGTGAGAGGAATGGGGAGTCCAAATAATCCTGGTAAGGGGAGATAACTATTTCTATTATCCTGGTCAGGTGTATCCACACTTTTCTCAGTGTGTTATATTGGTATCTCAGGGATGTCAGGATTCCTCAGCCATCACACTTACATGACGTCATGTCATCAATACACCGACATAAAGGCATTATTACAGTGTAAGAGAAAATGTATCATCCCCTCCTCTTCTGGGAAACATTTAACTAAGTCACCCCTGAAGACACATTTGAACTCTTTCAACTCAAAGGATGGAATAGTTCATTATGAAATTTCAGGGGTGAATGAGCTAAGTTGCTAAACACATGGCAAGTCTCTAGTTAAGCAAACTAAGAATCTTCCACCTCGCAGAGATCCTCACTCTCACACTCTAACAATAAAAACGTGGAAGACCGGGCCAATGAATGTGTAAGTAATAGAAGACCGGGCCAATGAATGTGTAAGTAATAGAAGACCGGGCCAATGAATGTGTAAGTAATAGAATCTAACAGGCTGATTCAGAGGCAGAAAAACATCTTTTATAAGAGACCAAATAAAAAAAGAGGAAAACAAAGCCTTCTGTACGACAAACAAGCAAGTGATTGGAGTGCTCTGATCATGTGAATAGGACAAACAGTTTACCAGGTGGTAATGGGGCTCGCACTGATTTCTTTTTTGTTCCAGCTGTGAAACCACAAATAAAACGTGTCATGCAAGTGAGTTGATACAAAAGTTTAAGAAATGTGTCACAAGTCTTGAAGTGTGTGGGAACAAAACAAAAAGTGTTTTACATCAAACTGTGGCCACACAAAACATAATCCGATATTTACAAACATTTACTATTACAACATGATATGGGAAATGTCTAGAAAAAACTTTACTGAAAAGAGTGTGTTTATCATCTTCTGATTGCAAAGTAAAAGTTACAATGATTTGTGTTTTAAATAAATTCTTATGTGAAATATAAAATACAAAAAAATGGTTTAATGTAAACAAACTATATATAAATAAAAGATTGTGGGAAGGGTATTATCTATTTTTGTGGGAGAGGGTTTCGTGCTAAGAGTGGTTAACAAAATTTTACCATGGTTTATCACTCTCTTTGTGGATTCCTTTTCCGTGTCATTTTCTTAAATCAGATAAAACAAAAATTTAGTCTTTAAATCGTAAAATGTTTCTGTCAACACCTACTGACACTTAGTCTAACTGCTGTGTTTATGGACAAAATCAAAAGATAAATTATTTTGCCTGTTAACATTAAATCACAGGATATATGTCTACATATGTACCAAACTTTGTCACTTGCCACATTTATTTTCTACCCGTAAAATAGTATGTTTTTTATCTGTTGGTGATTGTTTGAATCGTAGGACTTGGAAGAGTGATTAAAACGTTAAGATATTAATCATATTATCCTACTAAAGCCGATAACACCAGGCCATTAGTTATATTACTTACAAACCAAAGCAGTGGTTTACACACAGAGAAACGATTAACAAATCTGGATTGATTCTGCAGGAGGTTAACATGTAGTTACAACCAGGGGGACGTCCCCTATGAGTGGCTGAAGACTGCCTCTCCAAGTTTAGTTACCTAGTTCTGCCATGCCTTCTGCGATCTGCTTGCCCTGGGTCTTGGTCAGGGAGATGGAGGTGCGAGGGTTACGCTGGGGAGGCTGGGGCGCTGTAAACAGATTGAGTGTTAGTTATATCTACAGGCACCTATAGTGCACAGGGCCATATATATAGACATGTTAAAAGGACTGACCGTCACATACAGTCAGAGTAGGATACCACCATCCCTTACGTCTATATATAGACATGTTTAAAGGACTGACCGTCATATACAGTCAGAGTAGGATACCACCATACCTTACGTCTATATATAGACATGTTTAAAGGACTGACCGTCATATACAGTCAGAGTAGGATACCACCATACCTTACGTCTATATATAGACTTGTTTAAAGGACTGACCGTCATATACAGTCAGAGTAGGATACCACCATTCCTTACGTCTATATATAGACATGTTAAAAGGACTGACCTTCACATACAGCCAGAGTAGGATACCACCATACCTTACGTCTATATATAGACATGTTTAAAGGACTTACCGTCATATACAGTCAGAGTAGGATACCACCATTCCTTACGTCTATATATAGACATGTTAAAAGGACTGACAGTCACATACAGTCAGAGTAGGATACCACCATACCTTATGTCTATATATAGACATGTTAAAAGGACTGACCATCACATACAGCCAGAGTAGGATACCACCATACCTTATGTCTATATATAGACATGTTAAAAGGACTGACCGTCACATACAGCCAGAGCAGGATACCACCATACCTTACGTCTGTATTAATTCCTTCGTAGAAACCTTAGGCACAATGAAGTACCATTATTAAAAAAAAGTTTAAACAATTTATTTGCAAACTTTGCTAGAAAATTCAGTGTGAAGATCTCTTCTTTTTTTTAAATACTTTTTTAAAAGATTTTCAAGTTGCCTTCAACGCTTCAGTAAAATCTATTTCTTGTTTAAATATGTGTATTACAGGTTGCTCAGAATCAGCTGATTGTCTTTCTACACACATGGAAAAGATGCTTCATTCAATAAATTTGTTTCTACGTAGGGTATGATGTTAATGCCACCACTTGCAGTACACCTCTGGTTGTTAGGTAGTCAGTCCTACAACCTTACTCGGTCTAGTACACCTGACATCCATTTTAAAGGTTATTTCTAATGTACAATAGTTCCATACATAACATTTATCAAATTTACACTAATTCTACAGGGATGATATTATTAACACAATATACCATAGGACAGTATGTCATTTGTTACTAGGAATGAAATTGTTGGAAAAAATCCAGCATCAAATCACACTGATATGTCATGCATAAATTACGCAATTTAGAAATTAAGGAAAATTTCACACAATTTATAGAAATCTTTAAACATTTCATTCATGAACTTCATAAAACTTACTAACTGATGAAAATTCCTAGCTTTCAGAACCGGTGAATGTTAACAGAACAATACACAAATGGTAGGTAAGTGTTGTGGGGGTATCTATCTATATATGGTCAGCTACAATACATCACAGTGTACTGGGTTGTATAGAACAATACACAAATGGTAGGTAAGTGTTGTGGAGGTATCTATCTATATATGGTCAGCTACAATACATCACACTGTACTGGGTTGTATAGAACAATTCTACTGTTGTGTATGTCATCCGACAAAACGCCATCCAAGGATGTTCCACTCTACGGCAAGCTCACAAAGAGAAAACCTCTTCTCTGAATATTTCATATTCTTTTTTATCCATTAAATGAGCTGTCATTTGTCAAAGAGCCTAAAGCATTCTGTAGTTGATCTATAGAATCAATATCGTAAGCACAACTTGACAATAGCAATCTCTATTGATTTTTATTTTTATTTTTCAAGAGAAGATAAGCAGGCTTGACTGAGGACTACTTTGTCCCTAGCTTAAACCACTCATCTTTCCCGTCTGAAACATCTTCTACTTTTTCACTTTGTAAAGGCTGAGAAACCTGCCAGTAAGTATAGTACATCTCTACAACTGTGGCGTTTTGTACAGAATACCATCCCAATATACCTCTATACTCTACCCACCCGCTTTCTTGCCCCCACGGACGGGGAGCGTCATTGAGCCATCTTGGTGCTGGAGCCACTGGTCAGCTGTCTCGGGTCGCTGTACCGTGACCACTTTCATGGCCAGGGTGTCACCAGCCTGGCGGATCAGCTGAACCACGCGATCATGTGATGCTCGCACAACATTCTCTCCATTGATCTGAAACAGGAAAGGATTTGGTCAATATAGATACAAGAAACATTAGTATATACAATTTCTCAAAGTTAACCAAACATCAACAAAATGTATAAACTGAGAAATAATAATACATGCTTGATCCTTAGGTATACAGATAAGATACAAATACAGTCAGCCTACAGTTTAGGCTAAATTAGAAACAGGTTATGAAACTTTTCTTTGTTATAAAGATATTAACTTTATTTCATACATGAAGAAATTCTCATAAATGAATAATTTGTTTTTCCCCCTGATTTAATATTTTGGCAACATTCCACCATACAAATTTAGAAGTGAGATGTTTACACAGAAATGAACAGATCAATCATGGCCCCTTGATTTACATGATCAAGTCAATGAGCTGAGAAGTGGCCATGAATTCACCAATACATAAATTTCCCAAATTCTTCCACTTAACACTGAAATATAAACCCTTTCGACCATGATGTCAAATCTACCATCTTAAGTGTTTCGGATCAGAAAGGACACTCTTCAATTAAATACTATACCTGGGTTAATATATTTATATAGAATGTAAACAGATGTAGTGTTTCTGATTGAACTATATTTTGTATTGAATTTTTGTGCATTAGAGCTTACATTTAATATATATAAACACTTTTATTACTCATTACACTAAGCAATACTTTCATTACTTTTGATAACTGAATAAATAATGAATTAAATTTTCTAACTAATGTTGAAGTAGCACTACCTGGAGTGAAAAATTTAATGACATACTTAAACAAGTTTTTAAAAAAAATCTCGAACATAAACTTTGTAATTCTAGGTCAGAGTATACAGTGGTAGTGCATCACAGGTATCTCCTGTTGCTGGTGTTAGTGGCCACAGGTCCCTGCAGTCTACCTGTAGAAGGTCTTCCCGTCGTAAGTCTACCTGTAGTAAGTCTACCCGTCGTAAGTCTACCTGTAGAAGGTCTTCCCGTCGTAAGTCTACCTGTAGTAGGTCTTCCCGTCGTAAGTCTACCTGTAGAAGGTCTTCCCGTCGTAAGTCTAGCTGTCGTAACTCTACCCGTCGTAAGTCTACCTGTAGAAGGTCTTCCCGTCGTAAGTCTACCTGTAGTAGGTCTTCCCGTCGTAAGTCTACCTGTAGAAGGTCTTCCCGTCGTAAGTCTACCTGTCGTAACTCTACCCGTCGTAAGTCTACCTGTAGAAGGTCTTCCCGTCGTAAGTCTACCTGTAGTAGGTCTTCCCGTCATAAGTCTACCTGTAGAAGGTCTTCCCGTCGTAAGTCTACCTGTAGTAAGTCTACCCGTCGTAAGTCTACCTGTAGAAGGTCTTCCCGTCGTAAGTCTACCTGTAGTAGGTCTTCCCGTCGTAAGTCTACCTGTAGAAGGTCTTCCCGTCGTAAGTCTACCTGTAGTAAGTCTTCCCGTCGTAAGTCTACCTGTAGAAGGTCTTCCCGTCGTAAGTCTACCTGTAGTAGGTCTTCCCGTCGTAAGTCTACCTGTAGAAGGTCTTCCCGTCGTAAGTCTACCTGTCGTAACTCTACCCGTCGTAAGTCTACCTGTAGAAGGTCTTCCCGTCGTAAGTCTACCTGTAGTAGGTCTTCCCGTCATAAGTCTACCTGTAGAAGGTCTTCCCGTCGTAAGTCTACCTGTAGTAGGTCTTTCCGTCGTAAATCTACCTGTAGTAGGTCTTCCCGTCGTAAGTCTACCTGTAGAAGGTCTTCCCGTCGTAAGTCTACCTGTAGAAGGTCTTCCCGTCGAAAGTCTACCTGTAGTAGGTCTTCCCGTCGTAAGTCTACCCGTCGTAATCTACCCGTCGTAAGTCTACCCATCGTAATCTACCCGTCGTCTATCCGTCGTAATCTACCCGTCGTAAGTCTACCTGTAGTAACTCTACCTGTCGTAACTCTACCTAATTAAGTCTACCTGTCGTAACTCTACCTAATTAAGTCTACCTGTCGTAACTCTACCTAAGTGTGTCTACCTGTCACAAGTCTACCCGTCTTAAGTCTAACTACTGTACCAAGCTTAAGTCTACCTGTCACAAGTCTACCCGTCGTAACTGTACGTAAGTGTCTCGTAAGTCTACCTGTGGTAACTGTACGTAAGTGTGTCATAAGTCTATATGTTGCAAGTCTACCTAGGTGATTCGAAAGTCTACCTGTCTTAACTCTACCTGTGGTAACTGTATGTAAGTGTATCCTAAGTCTATCTGTTGTAACTCTGCCCAAGTGTGTCGTAAATCTACCTGAGGGAGTGGTATACTGCCAGCTCATTTACATCACTCTACAATGACCCTGTGTACTGCTTCTGTAAGTTACATTCAGCAATATAATGGGACACTGATCAGCATTAATTTATGCATGTTAGATGAGATAGAATACCATTATAAATGGCAAGCAGGTAATATTTCAAAGAGTACAATCAGAATCTGTAAATATAGTTGTGTTTCAATGTAACGTTATTGTTGAATCTGAGAAAATGACATTCATATATTCGTAATGAAGATCTTGTACAGGAATATACTTCATTATTCGTAATAAAGATCCTGTACATGTTAAGTGCGGTGATCATGATAACAGAAGCCTACGCCTCCAAAGTAAACACAAGTGACGACACACTGTATGGCTATCGATGTATCGTGATTCATGTTCAATCTATCACAGATATCCATTCACAGCTGTTGATTTAAAGCACAGCTGGCTTAACTCCAAACCAAACAGAACAGGTTTTTTAACTAGCAGCTCCTACTTCTGTGTTCTTTTTCCATAAAATTATCAATATTTATTATTAGAACCCATTAAAATAATGTTCTTTAATTTATAAGACTATATCAATCTAAGAGGACAAGCTAAACAGGCCACCGTAGAGTGTGCTTAGAGGCACGCTAACCAGACTTGTCTTTAGTGTTGTAACAGCACTCTAACATTAAAGAACACAAGCTAACCAGACTTGTCTTGAGTGTGCTAACAGACCCAAACTGTTAGAGGCAAGCTAGCCAGACTTGTCTTGAGTGTGCTAACAGACCCAAACTGTGGGAGGCATGCTAACCAGACTTGTCTTCAGTGTGTAACAGATCCAAACTGTGGGAGGCACGCTAACCAGACTTGTCTTTATTGTGTAACAGCACTCTAACATTAAAGAATGCAAGCTAACCAGACTTGTCTTGAGTGTGCTAACAGACCCAAACTGTTAGAGGCAAGCTAGCCAGACTTGTCTTGAGTGTGCTAACAGACCCAAACTGTGAGAGGCAAGCTAACCAGGCCAACCTCCAGTGTGCTAGGATGACCTCTCGACTCAGGGTACCTGTATCAGCAGATAGCAGGCTCACATTTACATGTCAACCACATACCTTTACTTATACTTCATGTACAGGATCAACACCCAAACACAAATATGTAGGTCAGATACCTATCCTTTATTCAAAGAATGAAATCTTCTTTCTGTTTCCAGAAAATATTTTATCAAAACGTATCAATATCGGGTCATGATCCATGTGTACTTGTTTGTCCAATATCACATGATATCAGTAGAAATACACATGATTGTTATCCGTTACTTCAGATTATATTAAGTTTAAATATGTTGTACATATAATAACTCGATATAATCACATTGTCAGGATATATTTTTTTCTTTTTAGATACCACTGATTTGTGTTATAGTTATCTCCCTTTAAAAATAAGTTACAGTCTAGTAACTGACAATTACCCAAGCCTATCAATGCTTCCATTCCTGTGAACCTTCCAATAGGTTAGCTGCTGACCCCAAGTCCTTACCCTTCATAACACATAGTAACAAGTTATTTTTCCCAGGGGAACTCTTTTTAGAATTTATCTTAATTACTATTCCTAATGCCCTAATCAACACTTTGGTATTAACTCACGCTACATTAGCGTATATTCTGTAATTTTTTACCCTTTGTCACAATGACATGTATGTATATTAGACGCATTATGCGTTTCTTAAATCTTCTAAAATGCAGCATGAGAATTTATGCATTGCATGATATTTAGCCAACTTTTTATTTTCCAATACACGTGTGACATATTTTATTGTAAGCCTGTGTGATATCACATACCAATATATCTGTGATATGTATTACGTAGTTTTGTTATTGGATACACGATGCAGGAGTGTGTTGTTGTTTTTTGTTTTTTGTTTTAAAGATAATACAATGTTTTATTACCTGTGATATGTTACTTAATTTCTTATGTATGTACATGTATGTCATATCCATGTTGTAAATATTGTACATTTTATGTCGACCACATGTGAGACGAGTCATTGACTCAATGTGTTATCGAATTTAAATAAAGTCTATTATTATTATTATTATTATTATTTGAAAATGAGATGCCACAGTAAGGTAGGATAGCCCCTGAAGTGCTGTGTCTACACATAACTGTTTGTCTAGTCCTGTATGTATTGCTGTCTTTGTGAGTATTGATCACAGCAGTGGTTCTTGCAGGATGATATACCTGATAAACAGTTCATGTAAACATTCCAAACAGCTGATAATTACAACATACTGGTATACCTTATCTTATAGGGAAAAAGGAAGGAAGACAAATTACTTGTGTATCAAACAGCTTTCTAAACAGCAAATTAGGAGGAGGATTTCATGTGAAAATGAATAAAAATATTAGTAAAGGGGCTCACTTTTCAGATATATCATTATTAGACAAGATACACTTGTATCTAAAGTTCTATAAAAAGGAGAGACAGTGAGCTGTAAGTACGACGATTTCAACAGAGGGAGGAAAACTTACCTCCAATAGGAAATCTCCAGGCTTGAGTCCTGCTCTATCCGATCGACTTCCTGGATCAACATTGTCCAAGTACTGCAGTGCGGGGAATTCCGCTGTGGGACAGAAGTCAAGCTCTCCGGTGGCGTTTGTCTGGGCTGCAACACACCAAAATAGAGCTTAATTACTACATACTGATATTTCTTTGTCTTCAATTTGTGATCAATTACAGTTGGGTTTTTTTCAAAATGATACTCATTGATTACCCCTATCCTGAGATTTCTTTTCTCTTTTTGTTAGGATGCCTTTACTGATACTCCGTTTCCAGGATTTAAGGACGTTTCTGTCTGGTTTTTGTGACGTGTCAATCTCATCCCCAGTTCCTGCCGACTTTGTGTGTCCGGCCGAGTAGTTCACAGTTCGTCCTGACTTTACAACATTTCCCATCCCAAACAATGTCTACCAATACCTCCACAAAAACTCTCCCCGCGGGACCCTCACTACCTCCACAAAAACTCTCCCCGCAGGATTCTCACTACCTCCACAAAAACTCTCCCCGCAGGACTCTCACTACCTCCACAAAAACTCTCCCCAAGCGAGTCACTACATTCGCATAAATTCTCCGTGAAGAACAACCAATAAAATGCAAAACCTCTCCTCAAGGAACACCAATTCAGTTACCACAAAAATTCAGTTATCACAACAAGTCTCCATGATGAACACTTTCAATTATCTAAACAAGATCTATTCCTCCCAGGAGCCGACTCCCTTAACGTGAAGAGACCAGACTATCTAGTGTCATGTGTTGGAATTCTGTCACCTGTGAATTTTCCAGTACTCGTTCTAAAAGTTTACTCACAAAAGCCAAGTACTGGCTCAGTCACAAGATCAAACCATAATTAAATTTAAATCAATTTCCTTTCAGCTACTCCAAGGAATTTGTTCTCAAATTTCAAGATTAATGTCACTTCATTTGGGTTGATCATTTCTTAAACACATCATTAAGTGTGTATGTCAGCCCTGACAGCCTTTGGTATGAAATGTCAGCCAGACTTCCAACCTCTGCTTTCTGTTTTATGTGGTATAACACCTTTTCAACTTCTCTATACACTCAATCATTATTATCTATAGAGAAAGAAACATTCCGTTATTCAAGTCTGAACATCCCAAGGTACAAACAAAAGCAGTTTTTAACCTGTCATTCATAACCTCAGAATAGTAATATCGGCGAGGAATTCGACTGGGACTGTGGTCCAGTAAACCCTGACCAATCTCCATTGGTAATGGTGGTCCTGACCGATGGACCAGACAGGTTATTAGTACTATATATATTGTTAAAGAATGTAAATTCCTTAACACTCGTTCCTCTTATTACCCATACAACCTAGCTCTTGTTCTCAACAATTGTCAACACAACACACAACAAAGGAATGGCCACAGGACTCCAAACCTGACCATAATTATGACAGTTTCTAACCTTTACTATAAACATCTTTGTTTATTGTTACCTATAGAAACTGCCTTTATGAGTGTACTTTTGTACAGCTCAACAGAAGAACAACATTACAAACAGCTGAGCAGATTTGTTTCCACCTAACACGGCGGAGACCCTCCAGCTGATTTCACTTTAACTTTGCTTGTTTTCATTACCGTATTTTGAACCTCACAGTGGACATTCAGTTGGAGTTTGCCTGAAGAGTCACCTATGTCCTGAAACAAGTAGTTCTAAGCTCTAGGTTTTAACTCGCCATAACTTAATTATCTTTTGAAATAACATTGATTGTAGGTATAAGATAGGTTATAATATAACAGTAAACAGTGAATCGTATATCTGGACATCAAACCTCTCACCAGAAATGTGGTATCTATAAAATATGAACACATTTTAATTTTTGTTCTCGCCTGTTCTGATAATGCAAAAATATTGGAAGATAAACTCTGACAAACTGTAACTGCTGTAGATTGACACCGGTGTCAGGTTTATCTAGCACTGGACCTGGACTGGACATCGGCTGGACATCCACTCCATACACACCTGCTAAACATGTCTACTGGCCTGACATTTGGGTGATAGGTCAGTCATAAATCTGCCTGTTTGACACATGAAATAGATTTTTTCTATGCCAGTAATACATATGTAATGTGTGATATGTTCTGTACTGTGTAACATTAATAGCCTAGTATTCACCACCACTGGATACACTTCAGCTGGTTTTACATTATACTCTGATATACACTAAATATTGGATTTATGTAATTGATTTGTAGTAAGGTCCTATTCGGGATAATGGTCTTTGAGTCAGAATTTATGTGCTAGAACTCCCTGTATATACATTACAAAATGATTTCAAAGTCAACAGCGTTTTTCCATCACCAACATTACCTGGAATAATTCAATAGACAGTAATATCTTATGCAAAATAGCAACTTTGAAACTGATCAAAAAGCTTTATTTTTACATGTACTAAATGACTGTTACCATATTTCATCTACTAACATAGCAGTAAGGTCCCCAAACACTTGGCAATATCGACAATTAATACAATAATAGCAGAAACTTCCAAACACTTTTTTCAAGCAGGTTGGTAAATTGTGGTAAATGGAAGGAATTCTCCTCCTAGACAAACAATAGGGGGCACCTGTATGGGATTGGGGCTAACAGGTTGAATATATATGTATCGTACTTATGTGGATCATAGTACTCCAGGTTACTTTACAGTAATCCTGGATTAGTAAACAAAAGTAGACCAAAAGTCAACCACGGATTATCATTATAACTTGATTCTTTTGTTGTATTTGAGAGAAAAGCTCTGAAATATGAAACAATTCTAAATTCTATCATCCTCGATAGAAGATGACATTTAAAAACCTCTACACCACAAAAGATCAAATAAACTGAAGGTTGATCCACAGAACAACCTATATTACATACAGACTTACTATATAGATGTATGAGGTAGTAAACATCAGCCTCTGTACCGAACTGAAGTCCTTGTGATTATAAGCAGGATGATGTCTGTTCAATAGATCTATGTATTTGTCAATGTTTTAACTATCAAACTGCTGGTTAGAATCAAATGAATTGATTCCAGTTTACAGAAACTTGAGCTTTCACATTGATTTCAGAGAAATGGTCCTGAAGTTTTAACCCAATAAAGCAGCACTAGATAGACAGCCTCCATCACCCCTACACATATACCCACACCCTGGTTAGGGTTGTCTCAAGGGTAACATCAAACATATTTCAAAATATTTAGCATTTAGAACACTGTTTCCTCCAACGTATAACGTTTTCATAACTTTTAAAATATGAATATGTCTCAATATATCTTGAATTGACAATTTCTTCTAAAACATGCGTAATAATTTTGTAATATTTTATCGCAGTTGAATAAGTTGCATTTGTATCTGGGGTCATTAGTTCTGTCGAGACACGTACTCTTCCCAACCACTGGTAGTGATAATATCTGTGTTGATAATGGTCAGTATAATGGTTGTCCCTTCTGGCCACTAAAAACCAATCCCTATAAACTTGTTATTCTGTTGGGATAATTTGCAGAGTAGCCTGATGCAAATCACTCGACCATAAAACTGCGGACCAACTTCATTTTTACACCAGAGTTTTTAGCCCACTCCCCGTTTAACAATGCCACTGATGTCTATACAAACAGAGGTATGGAAATCCTTATCTTATAACAATACCCCACATTCCTTCCTGTCATCCTAACCGAGGTTGACCTCATTTTAACATATATCTTTTGAAATTAACAATTTTACTAATCATTCAAAATAACTTGGAGAGGCATAATAATTGATAAATTTTGTATATGACTTGCAGCTTCATCTTTCATTGAAACCTGTGGCTGTAACTCAATGTAACAAAGTGTGACAGGAATGCCACACTTGCCAATGCTAATCCGGTCTTACTTTAATGTATGATTCCGGTGAATGTGACGGTACAAACCCTGGACTACTACCACTGTACTGTGTGTAACCGGTCCCTGTACCACCTTGACATCCCAGACAAGATCAGCTAGCTAGGGCACACACCTTGAGAGGACAGCACTGCCCCACACTTAAGGTAAGCTGCTTACCACTGAGCCCTGACATCTCATCACTAAAACCAAAGTGTTTCACTGTTGTCATGGTACCCAACAGCATCTATTTCAACAAAGGTAAGCTAGATAATGACTCATCTGAATATTCAACAGGTATGTGAATTATAGGAAAAGGTTAAGTACCGGTCTCCGGACCTCTGACGGAGGGCGAGATGTTTCCATCCAGCCTAATATAGTAACAGGTAATACTGATACAACTAATACATCCAAGGCAAATGTTGATGTGAATTTTATAACATGATTTTACTGTTATACAGGGTTTTATTGACAGATGATTGTATCGTGGATGTCACACCAAAGGACAATAAAGGACCAATCACGTGTGATTATTGATGAACCATATATAGCTCCTGGTCTGCAGGTTGTGTAGACTGATGCTAGTGTAAGTTGCTGTATAGTGATAATCACATGATAATCATCAGAAAGTCTCAACAAAATCCAACATATAAACGATGATTTGTAACTGCTTCTGCTATTGAATCACCCAGCAGACAATTCCTAACTTAAAGGGAGATAACTCAATAATTGTACACAAACAAACGTGTAAAACTATATGTTGTTAAAAATTACCTACGCAGTTCATTCAGCCAAAAATGTCCAATATCAGTGTGCTCCCGATTTTTAGATCGTTTCCATCGTAAACACTTGAGGATTTTCCGCTTACAGGCCATGTTATGTCACATCCAAGACAGAATGCCCAGCAGCTACGACCATCACAACTGGTCTCTAAGAAACACGCTAAAATCTTATACCAGTCGGTGATTTAACAACGCCTCGAGTCTGCAACGCCCGGAATTGATTTAATTGATGCATTGTCAACATATGTTTGTAACTGCTGCAACAGCTTGAAATCGTCTTCAAATTAAAATTAAACCCCAAGATTTCTATGATGGACCCAGCTTGATTTTAATTGGTGTATTCTACTAGTGCTGTATGGGGTAGATAAGGTAAATGGAATCAATTGTTGATTTCACCCTGAGCAGCAGCTGAAACTCTCCCTGGGAAGATAAGTTACTGAATTGTTAGTATGTGTGATACAA